TGCACCACAGCCCAGACTCTGAGCTATCTTTCTAAAAAGGAGGAGGAGGAGATGTAGGCCTCTAGAAGGGAGATTGTGGAAATGTGGAGGCAAGCGAAGAGATTAATGTGAGGGGACTCAGCCTGGTTGCTCCTTCCTTCCAGTCAATGCATGAAGTCAGAACTGATTGACAAGGGAGTCATTGGTGCCTCGTGAAAAATGACTAGGTGTGTTGAGTCCGAATCTCCTTTCTTGTAGCTTGAAGCCATTGGTTGGAATACTACCCCCAGGTGAGATGGCTCTCCCATCTCCTCTCTGTCTCCTCTTCTCCAACTCAACATACCCAGCTCCTCATAAAGCTTGGCTTGATCTGCTTGGCTGGCCTCCTCTGCCAATAAGGAGAAAGAAAGAAGGGAAACAAAGGAAGAGGTTTTGGAGCAACCATTCATACGTGTTTCCTCTGTTGTGCAATGACGCTGACCCGTGTCACACACAGCAGAAGTCCTACTGATAGCCTTATTTAAAGAAGCTAGATTTCTATCTGCTAGATTTCCCAGGGGGCTCTCAATAATTTTTTTTCCTGGAAGGTAACCTCCTCCCCCCCCCAAAGATCTGAAGGAAGGAGACAGTTCCTGCAACCTCACCCCTCCCTGGCTGGACCCCCTGCTCCCAGGGCTCCCCCCCCCACATGAGCCACCCTCCCCTGCTGCAGCCCTGGGACCCCCACCTTCTCCCCACTGCACCCGGGGGGGGGGAGGAGGAAGAGACTCACCAGATCCCCGTGGAAGAGAGCAAGGCAGCCTTTGCAGCAGAGGAAAGCAACCCCCCCCCCCACTTGCAGGAAGGGGAGGGAGGGGCTTTTCCTCTGGAGGACCTGGCCCCCCCTTACTTCCTGTCCTTTCTAGGAATGCAGCTCAGTTCCCTTTAACCCTTGCAAAGCCGAGTCCACCCTGCTCAGTCCTCTCTGCCTTTTCTCTCCTGCGTTGCACAATCCCAGAGATGCTCATTTTGAGGGGACGCTCTTGGTTGGTCTGTGATCCGCTCCCTCCCTTGGCCAGAAACTGGAGGAAGAGGTTGCAGGGAAAAGGGGTTTGCAGGAAGCAAGGAACCTCATACTAGAATGGGAGGGAGCCCTAAGGGTCATCTATTCCAGCCCCCCTGCAAGGCAGGAATCTCAGCCAAAGCATCCAACCTCTGCTTAAAAACCTCCAAGGAAGGAGAGTCCGCCATCTCCCAAGGGATTCTGCTGCTCTTCCCGTCAGAAGGTTGTTCCTGCTCTTTAGGCAGCAGAAACTGCTTTCTGGTCCTCTGGGTCCCTTATTCTGGGTGCTCCCCTCTAGGGCAGGAGAAAACAAGCTGGCTCCCTCTTCCATGGGTCAGCCACCTGCCACAAGACGAAGCAAGATGGAATCCCCGATCAAAAGAGAATCCAAACTTTTATTAGCTGCTTATCCCTCAGGCAGAGGGGCTGCTGAGTAGCTGAGCTCACATGTCTATATGAATTTCTGAAGTTTTCCCAGTGAGCCAGTACAGAGATACATTTATCAGTGAATTCTTACATTTGGTATAGTGCAGAATATAGGAAGAAACTGTGATGAAGTGTTTTGTTGCGACCAGTCAAAAAAGTCACAAAAGTGATCGTGCTGATTTTTGGTAGTGGGCTGCATGTGCATGATATCTGTTGCAGGGGCAACCCCCCCCCCAAAAAAACCCCCTATACATAAATTCCTGCAACATTTTGCCTTCCAATGTCCGGCTATACCTCTTGGCTTGTCCTCCAAACTTTGCTGGGGGGCTGTGTTCCCCCTCCCAAAGCAGGGACACACTCTTAGCACCCGAAAGCTGTACCACCTCATTGCTGCTGCCGGGGGTGAGAGGGTTTATATAGTGGCGGGTGATGCCCTTTTGGAATATTTGGCCAATTAAGTGAGGCGGGGAATCCCTCAAGGGGCGGAGCAGCAGCTGATTTGCTACCTGTGCTATGACACCCTTCTCTCAGCTGAGCAGGTGCCCTGGGGGGACCTCAGAGGGGCTGACAAATCCCACAACAGAAGTGGCTCCGAGGTAGGACTGGAGTCAGAATCGGAGAGCCTTCAAGGTGCCACACAGGATTGTTGACAAGCCCCCCCCCCAAAAAAAAACCACCTGTGATCATCTTCTAGCTTGGTTTCTTTCCCCTTCCCGTTCCCTGGATTCTCACAGAGAGAAGAAGGGGAGACAAGCCATTCCCATGGGAGAGAGTTGCTGGAGACAGGGGTGGGACCTGTTGGCCATTAATATTTGGATTGGTTAAGCAGATGAAATGGGCAGCCGTGAGGCAACAAAAAACGGTGGGTTCTGGGTTCTCCTTAACAAAGCTTCTAAGTGTATTGGGAGACTCCAAAGAATCCAGCCTGTTTACTTGGAGAATGGTCCACAGGGCAATCAAGCGCAGCCTAAAAGATCCTGACTTGCACCACATCCAGAGCTCTGTCATCCTAGGGTGAGCCTGTTGAGAAGAAGCATCTTTGTGCAGGGGAGACCCTCTCATGGACCTCAACGAGAGGGAAGTTGCCCTCAAGCCAGTTGCAAAGTTGTGCCATTGTTTTGGACATGTTGTGGAAACAAAGAGGCTTTGGGTGTAGTGTAATTCTACTGCACCCACATTCTCCCCCTAGAACCACAGAATTGTGTCGTTGGAAGAGACCCTGAGGGCTGTCTGGTCCAACCCCTTGCAATGCGGGAATCTCAACTACAGCACCCAGGACGGACGGCCACCCAACTTCAGGATCAGAACCTCCAAGGAAGGAGAGCCCACCACCTTTGCACTGTCAAGCAGCTCTTACTATCAGGACGTTCTTCTTGATGTTTAGTTGCAATCACTTTTCTTGTAACTTGAAGCCATTGGTTTGAGTCCTACCCTCCAGAGCAGAAAGAAGTAGAAGAAGAGGAGGAGTTTGGATTTGATATCCCGCTTTATCACTAACAGAAGGGGTCTCAAAGCTGCTAACATTCTCCTTTCCCTTCCTCCCCCACAACAAACACTGTGAGGTGAGTGGGGCTGAGAGACTTCAGAGAAGTGTGACTGGCCCAAGGTCACCCAGCAGCTGCATGTGGAGAAGCGGGGAAGCGAACCTGGTTCACCAGATTAGGAGTCTACCACACTTAACCACTACACCACACTGGAGAAAACAAGCTTGCTCCGTCTTCCATGGGGCAGCTCTAGAGAGATTTGAAGATGACTCTCAGATCCTGTCTCAGTCTCCTCCTTCCCAGGCTAAGCACCCCCAGCTTCTCCATACCCTTCTTCAACTGGGGTGCCCAGAATAGGACCCAGGACTCTAGGTGGGGTTTGACCAAGACAGAATAGATCAGTACTATGACTTCCCTTGGACACTGCACTTCTGTTAACGCAGGCCAGAATTGGACTCATGAAGACTGTCTGCCAGCTGTTCAGTCTCCTTTGTGTAAGCAGAGAAGCTATGAAGAACAGGAAAAGCCCAGCCCCACCCAGAGCTTTCCTGGGGCAACTCACTAGGCCATCTGCACCAAGGAACTGGTAGAGTTTATATTGTTTTTCTTTGGGTTCTGCACTTGCCGTAAGTGCACTTCTCATCTGTTTCTTACCCAAACAGAGTGACTGGATCAAAGGTATGAGCTCCGCAGCCCATGCCAGGATTAATTAGGAAACGGGTGGGAAATAAAGGGGACACTATTACTTTGCAATGCTGCAGGGCGTACAGATCCGGTTGCCTCCCCTCGAAAATGAGGTTGCAAAGTTGGAAAAGGTACAGAAAGGGGCGAAGAAAATGATCCGAGAGACGCGGCAATGACTTCCCATATTTGGAAAGTTACAGATAGGTAGCCGTGTTGGTCTGCCATAGTCAAAATAAAAAAATTCCTTCCAGTAGCACCTTAAAGACCTGGTTTGAACAAAGACATTGGATTCTTATCCCATTATACATGACTAAGCCATTTCTCACCTTCTCACCCCTTGCCTTTTCCTGTAAGACCTATTACAGTCGTTAAGAGTCGTCAACAGGCTCATCTCAGCTATCTGCCAATCTCCCATTCCCACCACCCTTCTGAGTAATACCCCTCCCCACCTTCTCACTATATAGAAGGATCTGGCAACTTCTGTTTCAGTGTATCTGAAGAAGTGTGCATGCACACGAAAGCGCATACCAAGAACTAACTTAGTTGGTCTTTAAGGTGCTACTGGAAGGAATTTTTTTATTTTGACATATTTGGAAAGGTTGCAGGAGGGTTTGGGACTTCTTAGTTTCGGCAGCGGTTCTCAACCTGTGGGTCCCTAGATGTTGTTGGACTAAAACTCCCATCATCCCTGAGCTCTGGCCTTGCTAGCTAGGGGTGATGGGAGTTGTAGTCCAACAACATCTGAGGACCCACAGGTGGAGAAAGGCTGGTTTAGAGCAATGAGGAAGAGGCAACATGATGGAAGTTTGTGAAATTGTGCCTGGCCTGGAAAAAGTGGCCAGAGAAGTCCCAGGCATCCAATGAAGCCGAGTGATGGAAGATTCAGGACGGGGGGGGGGGGAGAAAGCCCTTCTTTGCGCATATAGCTATTTTTAATAGTTTAATAATAGTTTTAATATTTAATGCTGTATTGTTTTAACACTCAATTGGGAGCCGCCAAACATAGGGAAGGACACAAACCAATGCCTTCAAGTTTTTTTTTAAAAAAACAAGACTGACTAAACATGCGGAAGAACTTTTTGACAGCAAGAGCTGTTAGTGGATAGGATCCCTTGGGAGTGTGGGAATTTCCATCCTTTGAGGTTTTCAAGTGAAGTTGGATGGTCATCTGTCATGGATGCTTTACTTGCTATGCCTGCATCACATGGGGTGGAATAGATTGCACCAGGGTTCACTTCCAGCTCCACAATTCTACAATTCTGTGATTCTCCCCTGTATGGGTTCTTTGATGGGAAGTGAGAGAGGAGTTATGAGTGAAGCTCTTTCCACATTCCATGCACTGATAGGTTTTCTTCCCTGTGTGAATTCTTTGATGGGAAGTGAGATTACAGCTCTTACTAAAGCTCTTTCCACATTCAAAACATTTATATTGTTTCTCCCCTGTGTGAATTATTTGATGGGTATTCAGATGAGCTCTCTGGATGAAACTTTCCACATTCCACACACTGATAGGGTTTATCCAATTTATGAATTCTTTAATGGGAAATGAGAGAGGAGTTATGAGTGAAGCTATTACCATATTCTTTGCACTTATATGGTTTCTTCCCTGTATGAATTCTTTGATGGGAAGTGAGATAGGAGCTATCAGTGAAGCTCTTTCCACATTCCATGCACTAATACGGTTTCTTCTCTGTATGAATTCTCTGATGCCTAGTGAGATTGGAGCTCTTCCTGAAGCTCTTTCCACATTCCACGCACTGATAGGGTTTCTCCCCTGTATGAATTCTCTGATGCCTAGTGAGATCGGAGCTCGTACTGAAGCTCTTTCCACATTCCACACACTGATAGGGTTTCTCCCCTGTATGAATTCTCTGATGCCTAGTGAGAGAGGAACTATCAGTGAAGCTCTTTCCACATTCCACGCACTGATAGGGTTTCTCCCCTGTATGAATTCTTCGATGGGAAGTGAGATCGGAGCTGCTACTGAAGCTCTTTCCACATTCAATGCACTGATAGGGTTTCTCCCCTGTATGAATTCTCTGATGCCTAGTGAGATTGGAGCTCCTCCTGAAGCTCTTTCCACATTCCATGCACTGAAAGGGTTTCTCCCCTGCATGAATTCTTTGATGGGAAGTGAGATGGGAGCTATCAGTAAAGCTCTTTCCACATTCCACGCACTGATAGGGTTTCTCCCCTGTATGAATTCTTTGATGCTTAGTGAGATCGGAGCTCGTACTGAAGCTCTTTCCACATTCCACGCACTGATAGGGTTTCTCCCCTGTATGAATTCTCTGATGCCTAGTGAGAGAGGAGCTATCAGTGAAGCTCTTTCCACATTCCACGCACTGATACGGTTTCTCCCCTGTATGAATTCTTTGATGGGAAGTGAGATGGGAGCTGTAATTGAAGCTCTTTCCACATTCCACGCACTGATAGGGTTTCTCCCCTGTATGAATTCTTTGATGGGAAGTGAGATGGGAGCTATTAGTGAAGTTCTTTCCACATTCCATGCACTGATAGGGTTTCTCCCCTGTATGAATTCTTTGATGGGAAGTGAGACTTTGGCTGTGACTGAAGCTCTTTCCACATTCCATGCACTGATAGGGTTTCTCCCCTGTATGAATTCTTTGATGGGAAGTGAGAGAGGAGCTCTGACTGAAGCTCTTTCCACATGCAATGTGCTGATAGGGTTTCTTTCCAATGAGATTTCGTTTATGGGAAGTGGAATGGGAGCTCTGACTGCAGCTCTTTCCACATTCCAATTTTTTACGTGCCTTCTCCACTCTGCAGATTGTGTTGTGGTCTCCTTTATTCTTGCTTTCCAATTCATCACAATCTGCAATGGAGAGAAAAAGGGATTAGAGCCTCAGGAACAAATGGAGCCCCCAGTTAGGAAATAATGCTCACTAAATTTGTTGTAGAGAAGGCAGTTGGCTGTGTGTTTATTACCTTTGTTATTTGTAATAAACCAGTGTATTAATTATTGGATTCTAATCAATTGTTGAATGTTGCTTTGTTTGAAGTAAGTTACTCATTTAAATTTTTTGTACTTTTTACATTAGATTGTATTGTTGTTATTATTACTGTTTCATATATATACTGTAGCACCTCAGGTCACGTAAAGCTCTGGTTACGTAAACTTCAGCTTATGAAAGCGGCAAATCCATGCGCATGCACAGAACAGTGATCCTCGGCTTACAAAAACTTCGGGATCTGGCCGGACCTCCGGAACGGATCCCATTCACAACCAGAAATGCGACTGTATATGTGTTGGAAGCTTCCAAGGTTGGCTGGAGCAACCCAGCCAGATGGTCAGCGTATAAATAAAAATTATTATTATTGCTATTATTATCACTGCTAGTACTACCTGAGATTCAATCAGCCTGGCTCTTCTCTGGGGCAGATGTTGTTTGGCCCACTCATGGCATCCCCTCCATCTCCAGTGTCAGTCGTCTCTTTCGTCAACCCAAGACTGACAGCAGCAAAAACAAAAACAGAAAACCTGACAGAAGCTACTTATCTTTCCTAACAACTCTGAAGCTGACATTTAAGATGCCTGGGCAGTTCAGATCAGCCCAACTGTGGTAGAAGGAGGCAGAACTGGAGGAAGATTGTTCACAGAAAAAACTGTAATTTACTATTTCTTATGGGGGTGTTAGGTTCCCAGGTGTTGTAGGGGGCGCTGTTGAGCTCTGTGAAAACATATGAGGTTTGTCATATAGAGGTATTTCTTGAATTTCCTGGCAGATAGGACAATCCCACAGGGAGGCTTACCAAGAGAGGCCACGATCCCCCAATTCCCCTCCATGACGTCCTTATGCATCGCTCTCTGGTCAGGATCCAGCAACTCCCACTCCTCGTCCGTGAAACGAACAGCGACATCTTCAAAGCACACTGGACCCTAAAAGAAATAGGGAAATGTCCTCCTCTGAGACAGCAGAAATATAATCTGTTACACAATGCTCTGTTATTTCCTTCCTGTTAATTGCTCTGTTATTTCAATAGGATTGCTTTGCTGGGTACCTGTTTTAACGTTTTAATTGAATTCTTTTATTCTGCATTTTAAGTGTGGGTATTCGTCTTTTTGCAAATAGGTGGTACTCCAGCTTATGTTTACGTTATTCTGCCTAGGCAAGCATTCCAGTTTCCCCGATGGAAGGAACCACTTTCTCCTCTCCTCGTGAGTTGTTCTGGGGAGGTTCCCTCCCAATGCCCTAGAGCCAAATTCAAGGCGTTCATGGGGACATGGAGAGGGGGAGGAATGGGGGGCAGGCCCCATTTTGCAGCAGATGGGGCTGGCTAGGTGAATCCTGGAAATTATTTGTTCTTGTCTGTCCCCTGCTTAGAAGCCTATTTTAGCATTCATTGATGAATATAGAAATACAAGAAGCCTAGTTTGGATGGCCATCTGTCTTGGAGGATCTAGCTGAGACTCCTGCAATGCAGGGGGTGGGACCTGATGACCCCTGGGGTCCCTTTCAACTCTAGGATTCTATGAAAACTGCGACTACAGATGAATCCTACAGGCGACATTCAGAAGGCTGGTTTCACAGAGTTATCTGGGCAGGAAATCCGACACATCACTGCTGGAGTTTACTCTATCAGCAAGAACACGATGTTCACAGACTTGGCTGTGTGGGTCTGTCAATTTGCATTGTCTATCAATTAATGGACTAGTTGTCTCGGTGGAAGTTTAGTGTGGTTCTGTCAAGTCTTCTGTCAAGGTCATGCTGACTATCAGAAGAGGCCAGAAGAAGCCAGGGTTTCACTTTCTCTTTCTATATTTCTGTCTCTCTTCCTGATGGTGTTCTGTACATGGTATGTGTTAAGGTTAAGTGTTAAGGCTTAGACTTTTAATAAGTTTAGGTAAGTTTAGGTTAAGTCTGCTGCAACTGGATTTCTTATGGACAAGACCAATCCTGAAGGTTTTGGATTTGTGACCATTATGATCATTTGCCTTCAATAGCAGTAAAGCTCTGCTGGATGAAATAAAATTGCCTCTGGTCTATTTTTTGGGAATCCTGGAATATTTTTAGGTTTTTACTCTGCTAACTATACATTGGAATTCTGCTCCAGATCAGTATTGAGTCAGGGTCTTCCTTCATGAAATCAGCTCCTGAGAGTGAAGGCCCCTGGCTCCCCACAGCTTTCTAACTCCTCTCCTCTCTGGGGTTTCTGGCAAGCGATCCAACAGTGCGCCAGTGTGCAGCCTGCCTTTGCTCCTCCATTGTCAGGCAACTCCTGGCTCTGAGAGACAAGCAGGGAGGGTGGATTCTGGCAGAAGGAGAGGGAACCCCGGTGGCTCCTCCTTATCCTGACTCACCTCTGCCTCTCGACCTCCTTCCTCCCACTCACCTTCTTCCTCTTCTGCCTCTGATTCTGCACTGCATTCTACCACAGAGTCTCCCAGCTCACTAAGCCACGTTACCCCATCAGCTTCTGACACCTCCTCTTCCCAGACTTCTCCTCTTCTCCCTCTGACCGCCCCTCTTTCCTCCACCTCCACTCCCTGGGCTCTGAGCAATCTTCCCTTCCTGGTTCCCCGGCTGCTTCCTCCCCCTATACCTCTGTGCCCAACCAGTCCATGACATTGCTCCATCCCTTGGCCTCTGCCCCACAAAACAGCTTCCCCTGACCTGATATGGTACCACAGCCGCTGTTTCACTTCTGCCCCCATGAAAAGATAAATATGGAGATCTTGTTGGCTTCATTCTTTCATCTGCCTCACAGGAATCCAGGTCCATTTCTGCAAAATGATCCCTTTTCTGAAAGAACAACAAGGATTCAAAACAGTAAATGAATGGTGAGAAATATAAGAAAGAGAACGACAAAGACAGATACTTTAAGGGTGTTAGATCTCATTCCCAGAAAAAGGATGGGCCATCAGCAGACCAATTTTGGATGTTCTCCATCCTGTTTGGAGCCCCTTGGGAGTATCCAGAGCAAAGTCTCTCTCACCTGCTTTCTCTCCTCTGCCTGACTCAGGAGGAAACCTTCGGCCAGGGCCACCGCCTGGGAACTGGTCTCTGCTCCACAGTCCCTCACCCAGCTCTCCATCTCCAGTGGAAGGACAGCCAGGAACTGCTCCAAGATCACCAGGTCCAGCATCTCAGCTTTCGTGTGCCTTTCTGGCTTCAGCCACTGGTGGCAAAGGTGGTAGAGTCGGCTGCAAACCTCTCGGGGTCCTTTGGCCTCCTGGCAGCAGAACTGCCTCAACTGCCAGCACCGCCCCTCTGAGGGGAGGGTGTCCTCCTCACCCAGGATCTTCTGCACAGAGTTTTCCCAGAATCCTCCACTGCTCCCAGTTTGGATTGCATGGCCTCTTCCTGCTCTAGGACCAGCTGAGTCTCGCTCATCCATCTGTGCTCTCAGGAAGCCTCTGAGAGATTGGAAGGAAGCCTTTGTTCTTCTTCCAAGTTCTGTCTGTCTGAATGAGAAGCTCTAGCAAATCCTACAAAGCAAATACATTGTTCTGTTACAAAAGCTGTACAATATCAGGAGAAGAAAAAGGTTCCCTGAGCAAGCATGGATGAGTCTTGCTGGGAACCAGGGTAGGACTGCACCACAGCCCAGACTCTAAGTTATCTTTCTAAAAAGGAGGAGGAGGAGATGTAGGCCTCTAGAAGGGAGATTGTGGAAATGTGGAGGCAAGCGAAGAGATTAATGCGAGGCGAATCAGCCTGGTTGCTCCTTCCTTCCAGTCAATGCATGAAGTCAGAACTGATTGACAAGGGAGTCATTGGTGCCTCATGAAAAATGACTAGGTGTCTTGAGTCCGGATCTCCTTTCTTGTAGCTTGTAGCCATTGGTTGGAATCCTGCGCCCAGGTGACATGGCTATCCCATGTCCTGTCTCCTCTTCTCCAACTCAACATACCCAGCTCCTCATAAAGCTTGGCTTGATCTGCTTGGCTGGCCTCCTCTGCCAATAAGGAGAAAGAAAGAAGGGAAACAAAGGAAGAGGTTTTGGAGCAACCATTCATACACGTTTTCCTCTGTTGTGGAATGACGCTGACCCGTGTCACACACAGCAGAAGTCCTACTGATAGCCTTATTTAAAGAAGCTAGATTTCTATCTGCTAGATTTCCCAGGGGGCTCTGAGTAATTTTTTTTCTGGAAGGGGGGGTGGGAACCTCCTCCCCTCCCCCATCCACAAAAGATCTAAAGGAAGGAGACAGTTCCTGCGACCTCGCCCCTCCCTGGCAGGACCCCCTGCTCCCAGGTGCTTCCCCCCCACATGAGCCACCCTCCCCTGCATCCCTGGGACCCCCACCTTCTCCCCACTGCATGGGGGGGGGGAGGAAGAGACTCACCAGATCCCCTTGGAAGAGAGCAAGGCAGCATTTGCAATAGCTGAAAGCAACCCCCCCCCCTTACAGGAAGGGGAGGGAGGGGTTTTTCCTCTGGAGGACCTGCCCCCCTTTACTACCTATCCTCTCTAGGAATGCAGCTCTTTTCCCTTTAACCCTTGCAAAGCCGAGTCCACCCTGCTCAGTCCTCTCTGCCTTTTCTCTCCTGCGTTGCAGAATCCCAGAGATGCTCATTTTGAGGGGACGCTCTTGGTTGGTCTGTGATCCGCTCCCTCCCTTGGCCAGAAACTGGAGGAAGAGGTTGCAGGGAAAAGGGGTTTGCAGGAAGCAAGGAACCTCATCCTAGACCGGGAGGGAGCCCTAAGGGTCATCTATTC